AATGTATATAAATGGATATATTATATATATATATATATATATATATATATATATATATATATATATATATATATATATATATAAAAAAACCAGACAGCTTTAGGGTTCCATTATAATAATTTATTTCACCTTTTAAAGGACGCTGGATCAAAAGATGAAACGAAAAATGAAATGAAGAGAAAAATTGATGGGTAGTGTAAGTTTTTTTGTAATTTAACAGAGAGTGTAATAAGGAGTAGTTAGAGAGACATTGTAGAGTTTAGAGAGGGTTTAATTTAATATTTCTCTCAATCATACTTAGTATTGGGGGAGGAGGAGAGATCAGACCTTGACCTATTTAAACGGTTAACTTAACGGAAGTGATATAATGAAATGTGTAATAAGGAGTAAAAGTTTACACACACACACACACACACACACACACACATCATATATATATATATATATATATATATATATATATATATATATATATATCTATACTTTAACTCTTCCGCCGAATTCGAGGGTCAAGCAGATCAGTTCCCAGGAATCCGACAGCTAGACAACAGCACATGAGAATTGATTATAGTGGTGAAGGTTTCGTGCAGGCCCATCCACACTTTTTGCAGAGCCGAACACAGAGACCTGGTGCACTACGTGCTACAAAGTCCCAAAAAATGACCCTCCGCCGGTATTGAATTCAGAGTTGTCCTTCTCCTAGACCAGTTGCCATCCAAGGCTCTAGAACCCAGTCTGACCTGCTATTTACCCATATATATATATATATATATATATATATATATATATGTCTCTATCTCTTTATATATTTATATGCTTGCCTAAAGGCATTGTTTATAAAAGTAGTATTACACATAATGGCGAAACTAAATTTTATTTTGGTTCCACTGTAAATCACTGGAAATCCCGGTATTACCATCACAAAATGATGCTTACCAATAGTCAATATTCCAACAAAGCTGCAATCTCTACATATTTCTGGGAGATTAAGACGGATAACTACATTCGATTCGTAACTTGGAATTAAATAGCTAAAGCCAAACCTTTTAGTGGCAAGGGAGATAAATGTAACCTGTTCCTCTTGGAAATACTCATCATCCATAAACACATTGATAACCCCGATCTGCTGAACAAACGAAGTGAACTTATGACCAGATGCGTTAATAGAAAAAAACTTTCTTCTTAAATAATTTGATTCTGGTTAACCTAATTAACCTAACAATTCATCGAGTTATCCCCTTATCTCATCTTTGTTTTTGTAATTATTTTTAACTCTTTTGTAATTAACTTTATTTTTATATTTCATTTCGTCTACATGAATATACCGTTACTTCCCTTACTTCATCTGTTTCTATTCCTATATTTATAAACTTATTCTCCTTTATTTTATATTTATTTCTATAATTATATATATTGATTATTATTTATTCTTATATTTATATATTTATTTAATTATTAATTTACTCTTATATTTATATATATTTATTATATATTTATATTTTTATATATATTTATTATATATTATATTTTTTTTTCTCATCTTTATATATGTAAATGTTTATTATTATTTTTAATATATTTTTATAATCAGTTATAGCAGTTTTGCTTTTTTATACATATTTATTTATATAAAGTTACCCTCTAGATTCCCTATAATATTAAGTTTAGCGAATTTTTCTAAAATATTACGACATCTAGTTTTTATTTTTGTTTATTTTATTTCTTCATTTCATCTCCACCCTATAATTTTGTGACTTGAATTCAAAAGTATGACTCGATATTTGATTCTAATTACATAATTATTAATCATAGAATGGATATACTATATAGAACTGCATCTACAAACCCATAATATTTCAAAAAACAAAAAAAAAACAAAAAAAACTACCGAACAGTTCATCACCATTATAAGTACCTGAAGATCGTCCTGATCATAAAACACTGAGTCGTACATTCGACGTAAGATAATATTTATATTTATTAATATATACTTTATAGCGCTGTATTACCACATGGAACACTGTTTTGTTTACACCAAGAATTAAATAAAATATTTATTCTCAAATTTATATACGCGCATGGTCGCACGCATATATGGTGACATGAATATTTATTTATTTAATTATATATATACATATATATATATATATATATATATATATATATATATATATATATATATATATATTTAAAGAAAAAAGCTAGAAGAGTATGAATTCTATTTTTATTAAACAGTTAAGATATTTAATACTTGAAGATGGCTAAATGTGTAGCCGAAAGCACTCGGATAAAAAGAACATTTGGGCAGTTTTTATATAATTTATCATCTGAAAAAAAATTATTAGATCACATGATAAAAAACTAAATGAAAGTACCTTGTTTGTCGTATTCAATGAAATGTGCATGAAAAATAGGTTTCTGCCTTTAAATACAAAATATATATATATATATATATATATATATATATATATATATATATATATATATATATATATATATACACACACACACACACATCATCAATATAATTATTTGAATTAAATTGAATTAATTACTAAGCTCTGTTATTTTAAATAAATAATTATATTTATGCTTTACTTTTGTTTTGTATCGAGCACTATTTTTAAAAATAATAACAAAAATACTAAAGAACTTTGGATTATTTACCTGACGAGTTCTTTCCTATTTTCTATATATTTTTACACACACACACACACACATATATATATATATATATATATATATATATATATATAGAGAGAGAGAGAGAGAGAGAGAGAGAGGGGTGAGAAAGAGAGAGATGGAGAGAGCGAAAAGGGTGTGAAAAGTTGGGCATCGTCTGTGAGAAAAACATTATCAGGACGCAATTTACGGCATGATACACTACTTGGCATTCGCACCGGAAGCTTCCATGCGAACATTTCAGAGTGTTTGGTTGTAAATCTGAGGATAATGCAGAGGGTTCGGAAAGAGTTGGCTGAGTCTAATTGTGATTAGGAAGGTATTTGGAGTGATCACTATTAATGGCGACGTTATGCCTCAATTCATCTTACCACAGGGCCTCAGATTCTACACGGAAGCCTACATTACATCAAGTGCCGTGCTGCCTTGGTTCAAGAGGGAATAGCCAATGTCTGGCAACAGGACTCTAGACTATGGCACACAAACTGGAAAACCCAGTCATGGCTGTCAAACAATTTCCGAGACTACATCACACCCTATATCTAATTCCCCAGACTTCATCCCCCTTGATTATTATGTGTGCGGTGCAGTTGAGCTAGAAACCAAAAAAAAAAAAAAAAAATCTCTTGTAACACCAAAGATGAACTGAAGGCAAGGATTATGGCAGCATTCACCAGCTTAAACTAGGAGACCGTCCAGAAGAGATGCAGGAGATTCTTAAATCGTCTCGAGGCTGTGGTTGAAGCCAATGGCGATTTTATTGAATACATTTATCTTCAGTATTTCAAGATATTTTTGTATAATTTTGATAAATATATTTATTAAAATGAGATGTCAGTATTATTTTCCTTTTTGCGTAATTTTGATGACAATTCACCGATCGCATCCTCTGTATAAGATAGAATATAGTTTGAAGGCTTTTTATATTCATGAGTTAAAGTGATATCAGTGATATAAAAATGGGTATTAAAATCAACACACATAGACGAGAGTCTGTTTAATGTTAAATGCAATCGACGATACACACACACACACACACACACATATATATATATATATATATATATATATATATATATATATATATATTCATTCGCATTCACTCTCGATGTATGTTTTACTTAATACTTTTTTATAGTTGGAGTTCAAAATTGTGGATGACACTATATATGCTCCTGAAAAATTATTTCACTTGAACTCTCAGGAGAGAAAGTGTGAGTTTGGAAACTATGACTATTGCTGCTACTAATTCAATACTCTTCGATAAAACGAATCGAGTTCTTTCAATCACTGGCGTTTTTACCTAAAAATAAATACGCTTAAATTCACCTTCATACCTGCCGTGCACTAATGGTGTAGGTAGATTCTCCGACTGACGCCACTTCAGCGGGTTTCGATCCTAGCTAGAAGCAACCGGACGTCTAGCCACACTGAAGAGCTGTGATACAGCGAACCAGTCTGTCTGTGGATGACAATAATATATATATATATATATATATATATATATATATATATATATATATATATATATATATATATGTGTGTGTGTTTTTTATTTTGTATATGAAAAATATTAATTACTGTGTTTGCATGTGTAATAATTCCTTTCGAAGAAAACAAGATAAATGTGTAAGATTATTATTATTATTAATAATAATAATAATAAACAAGGAGTACAGAAAATATCTCAGTCTACGAATTCCTTTGCGGAGAAGGACTCTATTGGTCATCCACAAAAAACTTTCAATACTTCAATTTAAAAGTAAACTCAGTTAGATATTTGTTAAAATAATACATTGGGAACACCCATAGGAGTGATTGAGAGAAAATATATTTATTAAGCGTGTGATTAAACAAATAAATGAAACAGCCGCGAAGGTTTTAAAGGAAGGAGAAAACATAGACTCATCAGTGTTTCTAAAGGAAATATGTGAATTCTGACCAAAATGTATTCAATAAATAGCGAAATTGAAGTCGGTGAAAATTTAATGGAAAATAAAGGAAGTTACTTATGAAGTAAAAGGAAAGTTATGAAGTAAAGGAAGTTATGAAGTATTTATGAAAGATATACACTAAATGAAACAGCAAATAGAGTTTTAGAATCGGATCTTTCTATGGAATTGGTAAAAATAAAATAAAGAGTAAGACAACACATCGGTATCGAGGCTGATAAAATGAACAAGAATACGAAGGATACAATAGAAAAAAAAAAAAAAACTAAAAATTATGCGAAATAAAATAAATAAAAGAAAGAAACGAATAAAAGGAACATTAAACATCCCAAAACAAAAGATAAAAATATTATAGAAAGTAATAAGTCAAAGAAAAAACAACAACAGAGAAAAGTGATGGAAGAATACAGTCACAATATTGTGAAAAAATAAAGAAAAAGAAACTATAAAAATGCAGAATAACAAGAATAGAGACGAGAAAGAATAGAGAAGGCTGAGATTAGAAGCGATGGGAAGAGAGAAGTCGACAGATACGCGATAAGAGGAGAGGAGAAAAGAGGAACGGACAAAAGAAGGAAAGGGAAGTGGCGAGAAGAGGAGAAAAGAGAAGGGATGAGAAGAAGAGAACAGAGAGAATAAGAGAAAATAGAAATGATGAGAAATAGAGAAGAAGAGAAAATAGAAAAGCGAAGAGAAAAGAGAAGAGATAAGAAAAAAAATATAGAAGAGACCAAAGAAAGAACGAAAACACCAAAAAAGAGAAAGAAAAAATGGATACTATCAGTGAAGAGAAATAAAGATATTCAAATAGCAAAGGTAAGTGGAAAAGGTATGAAAACCAAATATATAGAAATAATATAAAAAAACAAAAAAAAAACGAAAAAAAACAAACCCATGACGCAAAGCTTGCTCGGGCAAACCTGAAAAAAAAATATTGTAGGAAAATTGTGGCATTTCCAATCCTTCCACTGTTTTTTAATTTCAGTCTTTAATTCCCCACAACCCCTATCCATTCTTCAACTTTTTCAGATGCGCCATTTCAGATTCATGTAGATAACAATATCAGGAAAGAAACGCGTGGGAACCTCACATCGGAATGGGATGAGCATTTTTTAAAATATAGATATCAATCTGATTTCATTTATATAATACATACTTATACATGAACTGGATTTTATGAAAACATGGTATCTCATCTGTCTATATTTCTGAGATGAGGTACACCATTTACATTATTCGGACTATTGACCGATAATTATTTTAATATAATTTTTGCTTATACGCTATTTTTTATAGATATGAATGTTTGAGTAAATGTTTGTTTTTATATTAAAGTGTATGAACTACATTTAGAGGCCTGAATGCGCGAGACATTTCATGGAAATTATATGTCCACCGACTGAAATCGAAACCGTATTACAGACGACAACCTCATTTGGCTTGACGTGTTATACTATTTAGCTACAGAGGAAGCGTATGGTTAGTAAAGACAAATTCCTGTTTTTAAACAATAAATTTCCCCATTTCCTCTGTAGCTAAATGGTATAGCACGTCAGGCTACATAGCGTTTCTGTATAGGATACAGGTTCGATTCCTGTTGAAGAACACATAGTTTCTATACACACACACACACATATATATATATATGACAAAATATACTTTTAAGGGATATCATATTTATGGGTAAAAGTATCCAATAACAGAGGCAAGGTGTTCGTATATATAGTGTGAACCTGAGGTCAAAAACGAAGCTCAGCAGTTTGTCTCATGCTTGAGTGCCATCTGAATATAGTTTTCAAGCATGAAACAGGCTGTTTCCTCTCAGAGTTGACCTCATTGTATATATATATATATATATATATATATATATATATATATATATATATATATATATGTATGTATTATACGGAATGAGCTGCACATACAGGTACAGATATATGTATATGAATATCCACCCAATCACAGAACTTAACATGCAACCATCACATGCCTGAGCAGTAACGGTGAAAAAATTTTGGTTCTTACAAAAAATTTCTGATGTTTGGATATTTGTTTAGATTTTGGCAAGTGGATCAGGCCGAGAACATATCAGCACCAACTTCTTTAGATACACAATTTCATATATGTTTACTCTAGAATAAAGAACAAAGTAAAATAAGGGGGGGGGATTAAGATTAGAAATATTGTGTTGCTTAAATCCATAATGCTGTGCTGACCGGCTGGTAAAACAGCTTTCGAAATCCAGGGTTTAACCTGGGATAAAACATAGATTACTGCCATGTATAGAAAACACAGATTACTGTGACGTGAATCTATTTATAAAAATGGGCGCTGAAAAATTTCCGAAACGACCCATTTTACAAGAATCTGACTAAATGATTAAACATTAATTCTACAGCCATTGTTTATATAAATAAATCAAATCATAGTTGGAAATGAATATATGATGAAGGCCTGAAGGCATGAAGGCACCAAGAACTACTATATATTGATATTTAATTTCGCTTCCATAGCCATGAAATACGTAGAATTAAAATAATTTTAAAATATCTCCATATAAAACCAAAATCCAGATAGTTAGTATTCCAATGATATATGCGTATAATATTAGATTATAAAGAATTTCGAGTAGTAGTGCTATCATGCCCATTTTGTATTTACTAATTGGATATACTAAAATTAAACAATTACAACATTTTAAATATCTAGGAAGTGTTTTAACAGCGACACCGAAATCCGAAGTACTTTTGGGATAGCAGAAGAAGCCTCCAAAAAGCTCAAGAGAGTATTAAGAAACAGAAAATTTTCATGAGAAACATAGAAAAGAGTACTGAACTGATATGTAATATCAGTCCTTTTATAGGGCAGTGAATACTGGACAATAGATAAAATGATGATGAAGAGACAAAGTGAGAGAAATTTTGGCTCGACAGAAGGATGCTGGGAATACTATGTGTCGAATATATATGCAACGACTGAATTTTGCAGAAAACAAAAACAAAAAAGGACACTTCAACTTAACACCAGAAAGAGACAGTTGGCATTTCTAGGGCGCCTAATGAGGAAAGAGGGCTTGGGAAATTTGACACCCAGAGGACAGATTGAAGGCAAGATTTAACGAGGAAAATAACGCATAACCTAACTAGCGAGCATGAGTAAACGGATGGTGGAACAAAGTTTAGGAGAGACAAATTGTACAAACTTCTTTCTCTCTGACGAAAAGCTTCATCTTTCTCGCAACGTTATTTTCATCCTGGGTCTAACGATAAAACATATCCGTGTCCTGGGTCTGAAGATAAACTACATCCGCGTCCTGGGTATGACAATAAACTACATCCGCGTCCTGGGTAAGACGATAAACTATGTCCAACAGCAAGGCCTTATCAGAATTTAGGAGCATGGAACCACCTCTTAATTGTTGTTTCACCAGGTCTACCCTGACTCGGGGTTGTAGCACCTGTTAGGATCCCAGCTATGGGCAAATAATTAACCCCCAAACTGAGGTCAAAACACTATGAAAGTGTAAAAATAGGTTTATATACCAGAAATACTTTGTAAAAAATTAGTACAAGCAATAAATTAAAAAAGAAAATACCAGCAATTCACTTCTGAAAAAACATACCAGCAATAAAAATCTTGTCGCATTGAATAACCCATTGAGGTGTTGATATGCCGTAAAACAAACCAAACCAAATGAAACCTTCATAGCTAAGACCCAACATACCACGTACACTTGTTGAAACAATACCTATTCCCTTTGTATTACATTAATAATTATTTTTAACTTGAACAACCTTTAAGAAAGGCTAAATTTTAAGATCTTACTCCCGATTGAATGTTTCCTCAAACACTACAATTTGAGCCTCTTCAAGTCTGAGGTCAACAGTTTTCTTTCTTATATACCTTAAGAATCTGCATATTTTAGATTCTCCTCTTGCATTTATACAAAGACCCTCCAGCAACACTCACTTGAGTGGCTCTTGGACCTTGGGAGAAAAATTGGTAAAAGCCCACAAGTCTTATCGTCTGTGTTTGAAAATATATATCAGGCGTAACTGTTTATTCAAGGCTGAAGTGCTAAAGAAAAGATATAAGCGGGAAAATAAATAAAAATATCCGCACTGTTGTTATGTTATATGCTAAGGGAAAATGCGGATAATTTTTCATACTCTTGTAAAAATATCTGTGTGCTTATGTGATCATATTTTTGTGTGTATGCATTATGCATGTCTGTCGAGTTATTTATCTACATACATGTTTGCTTGTGGAACTACGATTGTGTTTATACAAAACCCAGAAGCTTCCTTTTCCTGCAAACATTCTTTTTTATTAGTTCGTCATAGTGTATAATTGAAAAAGTATATTTGTGTCTGGAGCATTGAAAGTGATTGATAATAAGATCTTAATTCCGAATTTTTACCGAACTTACTTAATATTCTGCTGATGAAATTGCGCCAGCCACTGTAGATCACAATGTTGCATATCAATAATCTTGTGTTTTGGGAAACTGTCTCTGGCGAATATATATATATATATATATATATATATATATATTGGATGTATTAAAAAATTTCCTTCGAGAAGATTAACCTGTCATCTATGTGAGGAACGTGTTATATTTTAAACATAGAATAAAAAAATCACGGCGTACCTTTAAATATCCGTCTAATTTTGGTCCACAATACAGGATTAATTTGCCACACAAATTGCAAAACCTATGAAAAATCCGGAAAGCCTTTACAGCAAATGACTATAAGTTACCATAAATAAAATTCCTTTAAATCAAAGTGCAAACATGATAAATTATTTTGAACTTTAATGCTATTTCTTCCTGTGATGATAAAATCCATAATAGAATCAAAGTATGTGAGTTCACATTCATTTTAATCATCGAATCGTTAACAAAACAAAATTCCATGCAGTCTTGGTGTCTTTTTTTCATGAAACGACCGAAGAAGATTGAAATTATTCAGAATATATCATATGATTTCGCCGAGTTTTCTTTTTTTTATATAATTTTTACCTGACATCTAAGGACACTCTATATTAGGGTTGACAGGAGTTCCATGGACTTTAGCAAACATTGCAGCCGGGATATACTGGATTTAAATTAGACACATACATATATATATATATATATATATATATATATATATATATATATATATATATATATATATATATTCTAAAGCCTGCAAACCCTTTTCTTTCTTTCCTTGTCTTCTTTTTCTCGTAAAAAGAGGTTGTATTTTGCTTTTAAATTTCAAAAAATCGTTCACTTGCCAGTCATTTATAATTGCCTGATGAGTTGATCCGCATCGAAACACGACTGCAATTGTGTAGCGTTTTTTGACATGAGTTTAATATAATATCCTAAAATAAAGAATATTGATGTACATTGTATTGACCCCTCTTTTAAATTAAATTTTATGAACGTTGAAATTATACTCTATTTGTTCTCATATTACCTGGATATATATATATATATATATATATATATATATATATATATATATATATATGAAGTGAGAGAGACAGAGAGTGAGAGGCAGAGAGAAAGAGAGAGAACATAAAGCTACATGTAAGATGCTAGTCTTTAGGCTGGTAGAATCATATAAATATAATATTGTTTTGGAAGAAAAGTTCCAAGTGTTTTTCAATAAGTGGTGTTTGAACCCCTGATTTTATTTCAAATGTGACTAAAGTTTATGACATATGTATATATTTTGAAAGGTTTTTTTTTAGATATCTCTCAATACGATTTGTGTGGAGTGTGTCTTTTAAACTTTTCTGTGTTAAAAGTGAAAATAAATGAAAATACAATTCTCATCTTACCTGGATATATATATATATATATATATATATATATATATATATATATATATATATATAGAGAGAGAGAGAGAGAGAAAAGAGAGAGACAGAGAACATAAAAATACATGTAACATGATAGTCTTTAGGGTGGTAGAAATTTTCTGAGTTAAAAGTGAAAATAAATGAAAATACAATTTCGTCATACGATGTTCTTTTATTTCTGGAACGAACAATACGCTATGCAAACCGCAAAAGAAGATATGTACCGTTTATGGATATGATGCCATAGCTGAGA